AAAGTATTATTACCCCTTAAACTGGGAAAACTACAAGCCCATTTTTGGTAATTATTAGAAATATGTTCTCCAAAACTAGTCCAATTTTGAGTAATATTATTTAATTCTTCCGATTTTATAACCACAAATTCAAAAGGTTTATCGAAGGTTTTCTGGGATACCGGTGGACATTTTCAAAAATAGGCTGGAAATTTAGAATTAGCATCTTTTAAGGCTCCTTGGAATGCTTTAAAAAGTCCTTCTTCCTTTATCTTTAACTGAAAAATAAAATCACTAAAATCTATTTGGCGACCATTCAAAGTTATTTTGTATTTATAAGTATTGTCATTTATTTTAGTGCTAACATAATTTCAACCTCTACTGTTCTTATCTGGTTGTCGGTCAGGATTAGGAGAGTCGTTATTAGGGTTTTTATCCTTATTAGGTAGCGGATTATCTTCCTCCGGAGGTTCGGGGGTTTTGGAGGGCTTGTCTTGGTTGGGTTTAGGGTCATTAACTTCCTCAGGCAATTTTAATTCTTGACTAATTGTTTTAATGCTTTGTGTTAACTCTTGAACGGTTTTCTCTTGTTCTTGGGGCTTTTGTTGAGGGAGAGTTTTTAATTTATTTTTTATATCAGATAATTTAACAGAATATTTAACCTTTTTACTGGAATTTTCAGACTTATTGAGGATATTTTCTATTTGAGATAATTGACTTTGTAATTGTTGGACTTTTGCTTCGGTTTGGCTTTTAGTTTCCGTTTTAGTTTCTTGTTTGGGCCAAACTAAATAAGCAATAGTTCCGATTCCGGCAATTGCTATTAGTCCACTAATTAAGTAGATTATTGTTTTTTTTTTTTTTTTTTGCTGATTCATATCACATTATATAACTATATTTTTAGTAAGTTGTGAGAAATTTTATAATAAGCCAAGATTCCAATCATAGCTGCATTATCAGTCGAGTATTTAATTTCCGGGATGAATATTTTTATTTTTTTATCTCATTCTTTCACACTTTTAGTTAAATAATCACGCAAGAACTTATTAGCAATTACTCCACCGCCAATAATGATAGTTTTTGCCTGACTATTCAATCAAGCATTTTTCAATTTTTTAGTCAATATTTTTGCCAATGTATATTGCAAAGAGCATGCTAAATCATTGATATTCATACTTTTTCCTTCCTTGTTTACTAACCGACTAACTTCACTTTTTAAGCCACTGAAACTAAAATCATAACTAGCATCATTTTTTGGAAATGGTAATTGATAAATATTTTTTCCGGATAGTGCCAACTTCTCAATGATGGGCCCGCCGGGGTAATTATAACCTAGTAAAATTGCTGATTTATCCAAGCACTCCCCAATCGCATCATCCCCCGTTTCTCCCAATAGGGTAAAATCAGAGTGATTGTTTAATTGATAAATTTGGGTATGACCGCCACTAATAATTAGAGCCAAGGCTGGAAATTCTCATTCCGCTTTTTTTTCTAACAAACTGGCGTAAATATGTCCTTCTAAATGATTACAAGGAACCAGAGGCTTATTTAGATATAAAGCCAGGGTTTCGGCCACTATCTTGCCAATTTGGAGGCAAATAATTAATCCTGGCTTTTCCGTATAAGCAAGGTAATCAATTTTGTCAGGAGTGATTTTGGCTTTGGCTAAGGCTTGCGAAAGAACCGGTCGGATATTTTTGACATGTAATTTAGCCGCTAGACTTGGCATTACTCCCCCATATTTTTGTTGTTCTAAGATTTGGGAAATGGTAATGTTACTGAGTACCTCTTTATTTTTCAAAATGGCGATACCAGTCTCATCGCAACTAGTTTCTAGGGCAAGAATTATCATCTGGTTGATAATTTAATTATTATTTTCTTT